TTCATCTCAACGACCTTGTTTCACTTATTACCCGTGTGATACGGGAAAGATATTACTGTCTCTGCAGAGAGAAGAGGGAGCGAGGGATGGCTGGGGTTTAAAATAAACCTTTTATACAAGAAACTGTATAAAAAAAAAATGAATAAGGGAACCAGAAATGTAAGGATTATGATACATTAGTGGTGGAGGAGATCACATATCTCACACATTAAAGGCCAAAAATGCGCGATACGAAATCTGTGCAATGTGTTTGTTACCACCCTTATTTGTCATTATTTGTATGCAGCTATCTCTAGTGGTGATGGTATTTAAGACAAAAGCAGAAGAGGAAGTCAGGTAGAATAAAGAGTGACAAAACACAGGACCTTCACCCCTGCATCCTGTTCGAGTCCCCAAAAGTGCGCCAGGCCTTCAAGCTAATTTTTATATTGGCCAAACGGTGGATTTACAACTTCCGTGCATCTTCCGTGTCAGTCATGTGACTTTATGAAGCCCAAAAATACCTTTTGCCTTTGACCTACATTGGGAACAAGACATCTAAAACAACATACATTTAATTTTTTAGGTAAATTTGCTTTCCGGTATGACCACTTGAGAAGCCTTCATTTTGATCCTTAGGTCCCAAACATTTAAAAATGCGCTTAAAGTTGAATCCAGAGCTATTTTTCTTCCTGTCTTCACGTGACTGAGCCAAGACCAGACAAGTTCTCTTTATATCTACGGTCTTGTGACACTCCAACATTTAACGTGACCCAATTTATAGCATGTACGTTTTCATTACTGTACTTGTACCTATGTTTGGTAAAAAAAGGACCCTACTTCCTTTAAACCAAACCATTATCTTTTCCTAAACCAAGTAGTTTTGTTGGCTCATCTAAATAACCAACACATGCTTTCTTATCTGACAGTTGGGAACGAAAACAGGAAGTTAACCTGTTCAACCCGGAGGCCCCCGCCTTTTTTTCACGAAACTATGTCTCAGGGCTTCTTAACATTTAAAAACCTATGAATGTGTCATACTCACTTAACGGGAAGAAACTCAGCTAACTGACGATACGAACCATTTTTACCGAAACAAAACACAAGTCTCACAAGAAGCGTCTAAATGAGCCCTGAGCGAAGAACTGCTAACACACTTAGCACAGAACTCTAGGTAGAAATACTCTTATTACATATCGGATCTGCGCAAACAAGATATCGATTAGCAAGCTGAGATTCCACAGATTCTAGGCAAGGCAAGGCAAGGCAAGTTTATTTATATAGCACTTTTCTGTACGCGACTATTCAAAGTGCTTCTAGGGGTATAAGTATCATCACTGAGCGATCAGAACCCGCGGCGAAATGACAACAAACAACAACAACAAAATTAGCTTTACGGGACCAAATCGGAAAATAAGTCTTACCTTAGCTGTTATTTTGATCAAAAGTTGTGTTCAATGGCATCAAAACGATAAAAACTCTGCTGAAGGGTAATCCATAGGTTAATCCAATGTGTCTGTGTCACTTTGAAATGATTACTGATAATCCATCATTCCATTTTTATGTCAATAACGGAGATTTCCTATTCGCATTCTGGCTGCGCATCACTCCATTCACCAATGGGTAATGTTTAGATGGATTTTAGGAACTTCCCCTCGATTCTATTGGCTCTAACGGTTAAAAAGAGGTGTCAATCATCAAATCAAACGAGGGGTTCCAGAGATATAAATCCACCCAAATGACCCCAGAAGTGTTTTATTTTGCTAAATCTCTCTAAAAAGGTCAAATGTCACTTGTTTTGCATCAATCCTAATACAGGGTACTTATTATATGTTATAGTTTGGATTCCTAAAGCTTTTAGTCTACTATCCCATCATTCAAGGGTGGTTTTCACTATAAGTAATGTTTTCTTTTTGGACGGACACTATAATTTACGTTTTTTTACTATGTTCAATCTGAATTTACTTTAAAATAAAAAAACATCTATATTGATTCTGACTTTTCTACATCCAGCTCACAGGTTTATCATTACTTTGAGAAAAAAGATTATTAATTTACCCCTTTTAGAAGTGAAGTTATAGTCATTTGTTCTGGGCATGTCATTTTCGAGCCTATTCTTTAAAATGTGGTTTTAAAAAGTACTGTTTTGGTTTAAAGATCCATCCCAGCTTGCACTTGCACACTTTATAAGGCAAACGCTTGCATTGACTCTAAATGCAGCAGCTTCTCTCCCCCCCCCCCCGATCAGATGGCTTTGTGTGTCACAACACTGGCTCTCCTCCAGTGTTTCTCTCTCCATACATCTGCTTTATGTGCAAGCTGCTCCTGACTTCTCCCTGCCAACAACAGAAGGAAACAGCGATGAGATGACCCGCCTTCAATACCAACTAACGCGTGTCCTCATCGAGAAACCAGAACGCACTGCAGTCGTTTAGAAAGCGCAGAAATAACACGGCTGACTTTCCCCTTCTTACTGGAGTTGTTTACTCTGAATCCCACTTGAAATTCAGCCCGGGAAACTTTCCCTAAATCCCAACGCAGCACCATTATGTCAGCTTTATGCAAGTCTACTTAAAGATTCTGCAGAACTTTAGAAAAGATGCCGTTTCATAACGAGTCACGGAGACTTCTCCTTGCAGCTCCTCAGATAAGAGTGAGAATCGATAGGTTTATGAATCATCTCTTTCTAATTAACCTCGGTGATCATTTTACTTTTTCACCCCTTATTAGATATAAACATCCATCCAAGTTGTGTACGTGCTTCAGACTTGTTAAGTCTTCCCTCGAGCCGCTGACGTTGCCTAATGCAAAGCTGCAAGCCCGACGTGTGCAGAGAGAGTCACACAGGGCGAATGTACAGATCAGATTAAACCGGCAGGGAATTCCATGCAAGGACGAAGGTCCAGTAATTATAAGAGCTGCTCCCCACCGTCAGTAATTGAGTTTACGCTGATGAAGTACGGAAGGAAGTAATCTAATCAGCAGAGATGCCGGAGAGACTGCTTTCCATTTTCTTAGCAGATATGCAGTGTGCATGTGGACAGAGTGGAGTTATTTAAAGTCGGGTACATTTTCGCTTCGAGGTGCTAAGTGTGTCCTGATTGCTCCGTCCTGATGGTGCGCCTGAATCTGCAAATTACAACCACTTCTCGCATGAACACAATGTCTGCTATAACTACAGTCAGGACTGGCTTGAACCAAAGACATTGATTTGGGATGTGTGTTTTTCTGTCTTCTTTCTTGTGTCTTTGGCATTTGGTTTGTACCACAGGAATAAAGTGATGCCAAATCTGACCTGGTGGTTTGCAATATCTTTTTGGATGGATTTTAGATCAGCTAACTCTTTGCTATTGCACTGATCGACAGGTGGTGGCGCTCACACACAAAGAAGCATAGCAGTGCCAACAAAGACAGCGAAGAAGATCTCTGCTCCTACAACACAGATGTAAAACCATCATTTCATTTGGTTTGAAAATGTTGCAGGAGCAAGTGCTTAAACCTGGAAATGAGTTAGGATTTGAACTTGAAGTCAATGGTTTTCTGAATGTGTTTTTGCCTGAAATAAGGTCTGAGGTTAACACAAGCTGAAGAGATTTTAACAATGTGTTCTACGACGTAAAGCACGTAATAGTAAATACTTCAGGTTGTTACTGGTCTACATGAATAAGGGTTTATTCTATCTAATGGATGAACATAATCTAGGGTTACCCATTCATCTCCTATGGAGGTCATTTTGGAACGGGAACATCATAGGTTTTACAAAGTTGACTAAACCAGTCAAAGTTGAATGAATCAGCAGTTGCATATGTTCAAAAGCCTACTGTGGAGGATATCATGAGGCCTTGAGGCAATCAAATGTAAAACACAATATTTATGATGTCAGATTTGACGTAAACACGACAGGACGGTTAAAAAACACGTCATGTTTTTTCTTTTAAATGTGAAATCTCCAGCTTCTAGTTTCCAGATGTCCTCCTCATCCTCATCATCTCCTCTTGTTTGCTTCCCCTTGTTCTACGACATCAAATACGTCAGTAAATACCCTACTGGTGGATTTAGAAATGGATGTTGTTTCCAACATTAACATGCTTGTAGATTTGTCGGTTTGTAATATCTCATGGATGACCATAATTCAGGGTTCTCCATTCATTTCCTGTGGAGGTCATTTTTGACCGGGACACCAAAGTTGACTTAACCAGTCGCAGTTTAAAGGGGACCTATCATGCAAAATGCACTTTAGTACGTCTTTTATACATGAATATGTGTCCCCGGTGTTCCAGGGAACTCACCAAGTGTCAGAAAACACAACCCTCTCTATTTTCCTCCATACCCAAATCTCTAAAAAAGGGGCTGCAACGGATCTGATAAAAACTGATCCAGATTTGAACACTGTCCTGACGTCAGGACGGTGGCGCTACGGCTATTGGGCCAACTCCACCAATCAGGAGGAGACAGCCACGGCCATTGCCGTTCGAAAGCGCTGGAGACGCTGTAGTACATATGCCAGGCCTGTAGATGTTGCTGTTCTCACTGAATCAGCCCTTGCAAAAACAGAGCTATAAATTGTCAAATTGAGCAAAATGAGGCATGGCTAAAATGCATGATCTGTTTGGTATTTTGAAAAAAAAAAAGTATAAATATGCCTTATATAGGTATGGTCCTACACTATATTATTCAAATATAGCATGATAGGTCCACTTTAATGAAAGCGGTGATCAGCTGTTTGATGATCAGCTGTTTGGTGATCAGCTGTTTGGTGATCAGCTGTTTGGTGATCAGCTGTTTGATATGTTCAAAAACCTACTGTGGAGAATATATAAGGCCTGGAAGCGATCAAATGCAAAACACAATGTTAATGATTGATGAAAATCTGTCAGATTTGACCCGAACACGACAGGACGGTTATGTTTCTTTTAAAATGTGAAATCTGTCCTGCTTGTAGTTTCCAGATGTCCTTATGAATCATTGAGACCTCCTCCTCATCCTCATCCTCTCCTCTCCTCTTGTCTGTTTCCCTGCAGCCATTGAGACGCAGAGCACCAGTTCTGAGGAGCTCGTCCCCAGCCCCCCCTCACCACCGCCCCCCCCCAAGAGTCTACAAGCCCTGCTTCGTCTGTGAGGACAAGTCCTCGGGATACCACTATGGAGTCAGCGCCTGTGAGGGCTGCAAGGTAGGATCCTCCGTCAGATCCTCCGTCAGATCCTCTGTCAGATCCTCGCTCTGAGACAATCAGGCAGAGGGCGTCAGGCATTATTAAACACTGTGTCGTGGAGGGAGATTATAGGCAAGGCTTCTCCGCCATGTCCCGGACAAGGAGTTTTATGTGTATGAATGAGACCATTTATCAAACGTTAGAAAACAGATGTTTACCACAATGAAAGGAATGGCATCCAATAAGTGTCTCTACAGTATGTGACCTAACCCTTTAAGGCAGGGGTGTCAAACTCAATTTCATCAGGGGCCACATCAGCATTATGGTTGCACTCAAAGGGCCGGTTGTAACTTTAAGACTATATCATTAATTAATATAACTTCATAATTAACTACGTCTGAAAGCAGAAGTCTAGAGCAAATAATTGCAAGTCTCTTCAGTAAGAATGTCACAATATGATTTTAAAAGAAAAGCCACATTCTGGAAAAACATTGATTGTGACATTTTGAAAAAGAGAAGTGACATTTTGAAAAAAAAATCTATTTATGAGAAAAAGGCTAATTCTAAGAAAAAAGGCATATTTGGACAAAAAAAGTCAAATTCTGAGAAAAAGTCACATTTGAGATGCATTGTGGGACATGTCGTTTATGGGCAACGTGCTTCTGTAAAGTAGCATGTAACCGTATAATAAACATTTATATTCTTTGCAAGCTCTTGTGGGGCCACATAAAATGAAGTCGCGGGCCGGATTTGGCCCCCGGGCCTTGAGTTTGACACCCCTGCTTTAAGGGAATTACTGCCGAAACGGGTTTATTGCCAAAGTTAGTTTATCAAACGAGTATTTGTTTGTGTATAAACACGACACTTTATAATTCAGACTGCAAGGAAAAGCAAGTTTACCACAAAGACAGATCTAGAAGATCTATGTCGGGAAATTCCTCACCATTGAAGGATATAACTTATTTTCTAGTATCTTTTTAGACTCAGAAACAGGTTTATTACCAACTTAGTTTGACGTTAAGGTAATTGTTTGTGTTTGAAGGATTGATTTATCAAATGTAGAAATCAGATAGCATGTTTACCACAAAGAAAGATCCATATGTTGCCTTTTGAGGGGAATTCCTCATCATTGAAGGAAACGACTTATTTTCTAGTATCTTTTTAGACTCAGAAACAAGTTTATTGCCAACTTAGTCTGCATTAGGGTTACTGTGTGTGCATACATGGAACAATCCTTTTGAACCGTAGCAAACGGACTGCAATGAAAAGCACCTGTTTGCCTCAAAGAAAGATCCAGAGATGCATCAAGAAGGCGTCTCTTTGTTGCCTTTTGAGGGTAATTCCTCACCACTATTACATTTTCTAATAACTTTTTAGACTCAGAAACAGGTTTTATTGACAACTTAGTCTGGGTTAGGGTTACTGTGTGTGTATACATGGAACAATCCTTTCGAACCGTAGCAAACAGACAGCAAGGGAAAGCCTGAATGTGATGGAAGTCTAACATCCCAGAGGAGAGAGCGTGTTGTCTGCAGGATTCCTCTCTGCACGCTGTAATTGAAGCGGAGGAATGTCAGGAATCCTTTGGAGGTTTTTGGCCCGGAGGGAGGTGGTGATCGGCTCTCTCTCTCTCCGGGTCAAACTGAGTTCTCCGCTGCTCACACGCCGCCATGTGCGAATATAAGCCTCGTCGTAAAAAACCCAACGTGACCTCTGACCCCGATTCTCTGTTTTAAAGCGCTACAGGTGAACAGGGTAAGATACATTAAAACGTTTGTAGTAGCAGGACACTTCATTACTGACATTAAGACAATTATATTTTGTATTACAAGTTTCTGAGAGGTTTTATTCTAATATTATATTGAAAAATATACGTGGTATTTTTGGGTAGTTTTGCGAAAAGAATGGGATCATTTTAAGGAATTTGTTTTAATATTTCAGAATAAGAAGTAGAAATAATTCAAGAAAAGCAACGACGAGTGAGGTTGAATATTTCCCTCAAAAAGTCTTCTTAATGTCCAATGCAAGTTGTGATATTTAGAGGAAAGAAGTTGACTCAAACTGAGACTAAAAACTTCAGAAGAATCTGAAATAAGGTGGATTAAATATAACATAAATGTGAACATTGGATAAAGCCAGGTTCAATATTCTTGTTATATTTTGTTGATGTATTAAAGTCAAAGGTTTTAACAGAAGATATCTATTTGTATACCTCCATACATTTGAAAAAACTGCCATAAAAAGTCATTTTCTGCATGTTTTTTGTGCTAAAGTGTGAATAAATGAGTAGGGATGGGTACCGAGCCCCGGTATTATTAAAGACCGTGGTACCGTTAAGTCTTTTTATCGGTACTGGAGACATCTAAAAATATATGTCATAAGTATTATTGCTACACAAACATTATATTGCAGTTTTAGTATCGCCTACTCCGTTTCTAATACGCAAAAAGACTACAAAATGCGTCTATGATTATTTTTAGTATTTTCGATCTCTCCAATCCAGACGAGAGATCTCTCTCCCCCGCCTGTGTGCGAGGGGGCGGGGCGGTTTACACACACACAGCTGCTACATGCAGCAACACACACACACACACACACACACACACACACACACACACACACACACACACACACACACACACACACACAACACACACATACGGAGGAGATGGCGGAGAGAACGCGCTCCGAGGTGTGGTTAAACTTTACCCGTCTCGATGTGGACAATGCTCGTTACCAAAAGTGCAATAAGAGTTTAGCATGTCAGGGCGGTAACACGAGCAATTTGTCTAAACATTTAGACGGAGGAATGCACCGGGTTCGACTGTCTTTCTTGTAGCGCTGTAGCCCCATCCACGAGTAACGTTTCCACGTCAGGTGTTATGTATGCTAGCAGCAACACACGGAGCTAACTCAATGATACAAACATGGGTTAAAGATTAGAGGGAACTGAGTTATTTATTTTGCCTGTGACACAAGATTTTCATCGGCATCACTACACTGTAGCTATGTTCGTATGACTAAATACCTTGAACCTTGACCTTGTTAAAGTTTCAGCTATTCTGTTTACAGTTCTGTCATCAGATTATTTAATATGATTTGTTAAAACGTTGTTGTTTCTTTTGATGTGAAATATTATGTATTTAATTTAAATAAAAAGCGATGTTAATTTTGTTCACAATTTGTTTAGTTAGGTTACCTCATTTTGTTCTCCAAAAGAACCGATAAGAGTACCGTTAAAAGACCGGATCGATAAGCGGTATCGATAAAAGCAGTAGTACCGTTAAAACCTTAACGATACCCATCCCTATAAATGAGTGTGTGAGTGATGTGAAAGGCTTGGGAATATAGACAGGAAGGAAAGTGGACAGGTTGGTGTGTGTGAGAGAGATTTCTGCTGAGAGAGGAGAAAGAAGAAATCCTAGCAAAGTTGATTTATTTCAAGAAAGAAAGTTAATTACACCGTAAAGTTATATCGAAAAAAATATGGTATTTTTGTGGAGAAAAGTATAATTTTGCGGAAAAGAATCTGAACTTTTGAAGGAAAAGAAGTAGAAATAATTCAAGACAAGCAACGACGAGTGAGTCAAATATTTGGAGTCGAAAAATAAGTTAATTTTGGGAAATGTCTCTTGTAGTATTTCCCCCAAAAAGTCTTCATAATGTCCGATACAAGTTGAGTAAAGCTGAACATTTTAGAGAGTAAAAACTATCCGATATCAACATCAAACCTCCCAACTTCAGTACAGACATTAACACTATCTTTTTTTACATTAAAAGTTCTCTGAAATGTTTAAACGTGGAAATGAGGCGTAATGCAAACCTTTGGTGAATTCCAGCGTAATCTACAGAAGCAAATTGGCAAAATATTCCTCAAGCGTATTTTAGATGTTCCCCGGCTAAACACAGACATATTATGGAGACAGAAAACAGCCCAAACTCTCTAAAAGTGTGTACGAGAAAGCGAAGTTTAGGCGCACCATGCTGACAGATAAGTGAAGCCTCATCATCATCATCATCATCATCATTAGGTCACATGTGAGTGCAGGACACTAATGACAGTGAGAGTGTTCCCCAGAAAAAAAACACACAGTTCAATTTCTCCGCCTCCCGATGTAATAAATAGTCCGACTCGGCAGAACGGCCTTCATTTCTCTGACATCCCGACTCGAGAGGATTAAGCGGCGGATTATGAGATGCTTATTTTATTTTTTTACCGTGTTGTATTTCTGTCTCCATGGCGAGCGTATTGTTGTTTCTTCCTTTGGGTGGAAGCATGCCGTACAGAGGAAACTTTGACTGCCAATTAGAGCTGCAAATAGACTCTGTGTGTGTGTGTCTGTGTGTGTGTGTGTGTGTGTGCGTGCGTGCGTGCGTGCGTGCGTGCGTGCGTGCGTGCGTGCGTGCGTGTGAATTGGCCAATGCATCCAATATCATACTAGTAGCATGAAATGGAAATACTGAAGTACAAGTATCTCAAATGCCTCTCTCTCTCTCTCTCTGTGTGTGCGTGTGCGTGTGCGTGCGTGCGTGTGTGTGTGGCAGTTTATCTGAAGCACTTGTTTAAGAAACCTCATGCACATTTTATTATTCAATCTAATATTTAATGATCCATTCCTCGCCCAATTAATGTATTTATAATATCCTGCTTATATTTTGTATTTCAAGGCGTTTACATTTTGGATTGTTTATTTCTCGTCTTTTAATTTCTCTAATGTACAATGCCATGTCTTTTATGCTGCTGCAACACAAACATGCTCCAAATTGGGATCAATTAAGTACTTCTTATCTTATCTTATCTTATCTTATCTTATCTTATCTTCACATGCATGCAGCGATATGATAAACTAACGGTCCGGCAGACTAACGTTTTTTTCTCAGCGCTCGCATCATATCATTTATTTGTATCAACACGAATGCAGAGACGGGAGGATTTCCCAGGATGGTAGTAGTCCTGCTTTATTCCCAATAATCATGATGGCTTTATATACAGCTGATTGTAGAGCTGCAACACGTAG